GGGGGGGGGGGAGGCAGACAGAACCCCCGTGAGGGGGGAGATTGGGAGACCCTGGTATGAGGGGGATGGGGAAGAGCCCCAGCCATGAGGGAGGGGATGGAGGGTGTTGCAGGGAGCTCCTGAAATAGAGACGGATGGGAGGGTGGCAGGCAATGAGCTGGTAGGTATGTGGGGGGAATATGGAGAGTTTCAGGGAGCCCAGCTTGTGCAATGAGCTCAGTCTACAAAAGCTGTAAAGGAGTTACATGAGAAGATAAGAATGGCCAGACAACTGAGTCAGACCAAAGGTCCATGTAGCCCAGTATCCTGTCTTCCAACAGTGGCCAATGCCAGGTGCTCCAGAGAGAATGAACAGAACAGGTCATCATGAATTGTAATGGAGGTAGGTTTGCAGTTGGTATGGTGCTGATTTATTTAAAAATGTAGGATAGTGTGTGCAGTTTTAATGGGATGCTCAGGGATGCTGGTCAGAGCTGAGGCTGCAATATCTGCTGGTTGTTGCTATGCAGAGCTATAATTTCCTTCTTGCAAACATGTACCCGTTTAACTTTCTGCACATGTTATTCCTGCTGAAATCAATATGATTACTCAGATGCTTGAAGTGAAGTGTCTGCAAGGTGAAGACTCATATTTGTAGTAATGGGAATATGAACTTTGAGGAGCATTTGCCTGGGGGTTGCATATAGGTTAACAAAGTAAACTTCATTATAATGTAGTTGTTTTATTTTTGAATGTACGTGGATTTGCTTTTCAGACTGATCCAGAGGTGCTGTTAATGTGTAAATGATTTATTAGATTTTTCATAAAGCATTTTGAGTCTGGTTTATTTTCTGAGAATATAAAAGACTTGTATTCACTTGGGGGTCAATAAAGTTTATTAGGGAGGTACCCAAGAGGATTGTGTTGAAATATTCAATTCTGTGCACTTGGGGAGAACAGTGGGCCAAGTTTTCCAAGAGGCTACTTACTTTGCTTTCCTTAATTGATGGGTCCCTAGCCTGAAACATCTTGGGCCTCTTTTCAGAAATGCTGAGCTGCTACAACTCCTAATGAAATCAATGGCAATTCAACACCCCCTGAGAATCAGGCCTGTGGTGTCACAAGTCAGACACCCCAAAACTGAGGCATGCAAAGTCAGTGGCCACTTCTGAAAGGGTGCAAACCCATATTTTCCTCTCTGAACATCACCTTTGAAAGCATCTTGGAGAACATCAGATGGGAATTTCTACTGTACAAAAGAAAATAAATAAAACTAAAACCTTTCCAACTTTTTCTTATTCAAACATAAATAGCTAAAAAACATTTTTTCTCCTGTTGCAGGTCACATTTAAAAATTCATGATGCTTAGACTCACTGGTTTATCCAAGCTACAGATCAGCAGCTGTCCAGATTAGGCAGTAGGATTTGGTCATAAGAACATAACACAAGAACGGCCATACTGGGTCAGACCAAAGATCCATCTAGCCCCGTAGTCTGTTTTCCGACAGTGGCCAATGCTAAGTGCCCCAGTGGGAATGAACAGAACAGTTAAATCATCAAGTGATCCATCCCCTGTTGCACCTGTCTGGGTCAAATAATTTGGTCTCTGATAAACCTCTAAATTAAGGAATACAAAATTTTAAGTATCAGAGGGGTAGCCGTGTTAGTCTAGATCTATAAAAAGCAACAGAGAGTCCTGTGGCACCTTTAGTCTTAAAGGTGCCACAAGACTCTCTGTTGCTTTTTTACAGATTCAGACTAACACGGCTACCTCTCTGATACTTGACACCATGCAAGGCACTGCATTTAGCCGTATGAAATGGAAATCTATCAACCTCATGAAGAAACTTGCACAAGTACAGACAGATATCATCTTCCTTTCCAAATGCAAATGGAAGGACATCTGTTAGTCTTAAAGGTGCCACAGGACTCTCTGTTACAAAATTTTAAAGCACCTAAGTTACTCAGGAGGCAAGTCCTATTGACTTTCAATGGGATTTAAGATCTTAAATCACTGAGACACTAATTTGACCCAATCAGACTAATAAATAAATTGCTGATGGGGAAGGGGAAAGCACTAACATAAGGAGTTAATATGTATCCATTTTTGTATTAAATTTGAAAGACCTTTTCTACTCTGCAAAAAAAAAAAAAATTTAATGCCATTATAAAGTTGTGTGATTGTATAAAAATATAAACAACTGTTTTAATGGACTTTTTTTGAAGCACAAATATTCTAAAAATAGCTTGATGTTCAGCATGGCCTGACCCTCGATGTGGCTAGAACCCTCCATATGGAATAATCATAAGCACATAAGAATGGCCATAGTGGGTCAGACCAATGGTTCATCTATCCCAGTATCTTGTCTTCCAACAGGTTTCAGAGTAGCAGCCATGTTAGTCTGTATCCGCAAAAAGAACAGGAGTACTTGTGGCACCTTAGAAATTTATTTGTTAATGCTCTAATAAATTTGTTAATCTCTAAGGTGCCACAAGTACTTCTGTTCTTTTTGTCTTCCAACAGTGGCTAATACCAGGTGCCTCAGAGGGAACGAACAGAACAGGTGATTACCTGTGATTATCAAGTCATCCATCCCCTGTCGCCCATTCCCAGCTCTGACAAACTTGAAAGCATGGTTTTGCATCCCTGCCCATCCTGGCTAATAGCCGTTGATGGACCTATCCTCCATGAACTTATCTAGTTCTTTTTTGAACCCTGTTATATAGTCTTGGCCTTCACAACATCCTCTGGCAAGAAGTTCCACAGGTTGACTGCATTGTGTGAAGAAATACTTCCTTTTTATTTGTTTTAAACCTGCTGCCTATTAAAATCAGTTTGCTCAGATTAGCAAAAATATTGAGGACTCTTTCTAAGGGATACGCATGTATCATTTCGGGAGGTGTCTGTCACATTATCACAGGGAGAAGAGTTTCTTTGGAAATGTTCATAGAAACACACACAGCCCTAGTCCTTTTACACCTGTCAAACTCCTGGAGCAAACACATCCTTGTCAGCACTTTAATACTGGGGATGTTTACCCCATCACTGCAGAGTCTGAGGGAACCCCACAACTTGTCTCCGGGAGGTTTGCAAGGGGGCTAGACTATTAAATGATGAATGAACCCCACCGCTCCCCTCTTTTTGTTAGTTCCCTATGTGCACAAAGACTGTTCAATCTATCACCTTTCACACCTCACCACCTCCACCTCTGTCTCCTTTTTCCCCTCTTCCTTCCTCGCAGCACCTCTGGGAACTGTTCTTGGCCCCCTGCAGCCGTTCTTCTCACCTGAACCTCCAGTCTGCATCCTGGAAGGCAAGAGCAGCCGCTTCATTGTTGCTAGTGCAGCTCAGATCCCCGTCCCACAGGTGTATTGATAACAAAGGGGACAGATTATTTCCCAGGGGCTGCAAGAGCTGAGACTCCCGGGACCCTTTGTGCAGAGTCACTTTCCTGCCCAGCCCCAGCCAGCACTTTCCCCCATGTCTCTTTCAATTACCTTCAGTCTCCGGCTCAGGAGTTGGAGCCAGGGGCTGGTTCCAACCACCGGAGAAAGTCCCCCCTGGCTGGGCACAGAGGGGGGCTAGTGCAGGTCTAGCTGCACTAGCCCTCTGGGGCGCAGCAGCAGCAGCTCATCCCGGGCTCCCGGCTCGCAGGGGCATCTTGGACCTGCATAGTTTATATGATCCCTTTGTTATTTATAACCCCCCAGCCCTTCTTATTCCCCTCCTCTCTGCTGCTCCAGCCCCTTCCTGTGCCCCTCGATACCAACCCGCGCTGCAACAATTCCCTGGGACCGGGGACTTCCTCAGTCTGCAACCTGGAAATAGAACCCAGGCGTCCTGACTCCCAGGTCCCAGCCCCCTCCCCGTTCCTATCCCACTCCTGCTCTCCCCGTCACAGCCTGGGATCAGAGAGCTCCATTCACCGGGTGTCACAAACTCCCCTGCCACGGGGTGCCGGAGGCACCAGCCAATCCCCCCCAGGAGTGGAGCCGCCCGCTCCATGTCCCACCGCAGCATCCCCTTCCCCCCAGGCCAAGGAGTCCTTTGTATTGGCAGAGGAGTCATGGCCCAGTGGCTGGCTGGGAACCCAGCCTGGAGCATGCAGGAAGTGCACACCGGCCCTGGGGGCCTGCTGGGGCATTGCAGTAGCCTGGGCTGTGGGGCAGGTGCAAGTGTCAGAATCCGAAATTGCTCCTTTGCTGTCACTGAGCAGGCTGGATGGAGCTGAGCTGTGCTCAGTAACATCTGCTGAAACCGCTGGATTGGGATTTACAAAGGGGGGGTGGGGGTGGGGGAGATGCACTACCAGACAGGGAAACCCTTGGATAGGGAGGGTGGGATGAGCCATGTACAGTGGTTGTCAAAATAGGCGTGGACTGGCAGAGGGGCTTGTGTTCCTCCCTGGATGGTCCAATTCAGCACCCTCTCCCCAGGGTCATGGTGTTAAAGGTGCAGTGTGGCCCAAAGCCCAGATACAGCAGCTCTTCTCTATCTGAACTGATGTACTGAGCTGCCAAAAGAGACTGGATACAGGAGAATATTTTACACACAGATACCATCCTAAAAATGTTCGTCGTCTCATACATGCAAGGAATTCTTTTAAACATGGTGTTTAAAAGAATTCCTTGTTAGTTTATGTAGATGGAATGTGCCAACGCATATAGCCTCATAGTAGCTCACAGATTTGTCTTATCTGTGGTTCTACTCCATTTCCTGTAATCCTCTGGAAATGTCTTTTCACTCCATTTATTTTTAAAACACTATTTTTATGACTCATTGCCCTTAGCACATCATCATTTACTTTGTTTAACGGTGAACAGATAGATGGCGGGCTACTTAATGTATAGTTTTAATAGCATACGAACATAGACAATAATAATGAATGCTAGTGGATAAGCAATCATATGCATAGTGTTTTGTAATATAAAATATCCTATTATTATTGTTATTTTGTAATTTACAATTGTTATTTCAATTTTTTGTTTTTGTTTTTATTTTCTCTATAGCATGCGTTTATTCGTTGTTATTATATAACGTCAGGGGTGTCTGATTTCCTGAGTTGCCATCAAAACTTCTGTTTCTTTGGATCTACCAATTAGGACAGATTTCCTTAATCATTATTTTGCCTCTCTCCAGCACTCAGGTAACTTCCAACATAGACAAAGCCTTATTCCCAGATAGGAGTATCCGCCCAGGTAGTTATTCCTGTATAACAATGTCATTATTGGTATAGTTATACCAGTATGATTCCCCCGTACAGAAAAGCCCTGAGACTCATGCAGCATGAAGTTATAATAGATGTTAAATGCATCATTATATTCTTAATGAGATCTTAATTATGACACTACTAGTCTGTATGGCCACTAAATCTCCTTCACCATCTGAGGTATTTGCACATGAATGTCTACAGCCCTTCGTTTGTGTCTTTTGTGGGAGAGTCCTGGAAAAAGAGCTAAAGCATTTTAAACTTCCCCTCCCTTCCCTTTTGTTAGAGAGGATTTTTTATCAGGGGCAATTTTGGCCCAATAATATTATAATAAATGGTTTAAAGTTACCATTTCAGGACATCTAGTTTTTGTCTCTCTGCTCTTCTCTGGTCAGCACAACTTTCATGATCAGGATGATGAAGGCCCAATAGTGTTATGGTAGATCCTGGTGTGCAAGCAAAGGGTGGTTGCAGCCATCCTGGTGATGCTCACCTATTGCAATTTACCCACCCTACCTAGCTGTACAGTGACTCCCTCACCCATAAGCAATATATATAAAGGGGCGTCACCCTCTTTCGCCCATTATTCCAGGTTTGGTGATCTCAGCTGTAAAGATTGCCTCTGCTGTGGTTCTAGGATTAATTCATAAGAATATAAGAACAGCCATACTGGGTCAGACCAAAGGTCCATGTAGCCCAGTATCCTGTCTTCCAACAGTGGCCAATGCCAGGTGCCCCAGAGGGAATGAACAGAACAGGTAATCATCAAGTGATCCATCCCCTGTCACTCATTCCCAGCTTCTGGCAAATGGAGGCTAGGGACACCATCCCTGCCCTTGCTGGCTAATAGTCATTGATAGACCTATCCTCCATGAATGTATCTAGTTCTTTTTTGAACCCTGTTATAGTCTTGGCCTTCACAACATCCTCTGGCAAGGAGTTCCACAGGTTGACTATGCCTTATGTGGAAAAAATACTTCCTTTTGTTTGTTTGAAACCTGCTGCCTATTTCATTTGATGGCCCTTAGTTCTTGTGTTATGAGAAAGAGTAAATAACACTTCCTTATTTACTTTT